TTTTTATTACCAATTCAGTTTCTTTGCTGGTAATTGGTCTATTCAGATTTTCTCTTTCTTTCTAGGTCTGCCTTGGAAGATTGTATTTTTCCAGAAAGTTGTCCATTTCTTCTAGGTTATCCAGTTTGTTACCATGTTATTTTTCATAGTATTCTCTCATAATTCTTTGTATTTCTGTGGTATCTGTAGTGATTTTTCCTTTCTCATTTCTGATTCTGTTTATATGTGTAGACTCTCTTTTTTTCTTGATTAGTCTGGCCAGGGTTTTATCTATTTTGTTTATTTTCTCAAAGAAACAGCTTCTGCTTTCATTAATTCTTTGTATTGTTTTATTCTCAATTTTATTTACTTCTGCTTTAATCTTTATTATCTCCCTCCTTGTACTGACTTTGGGCCTCTTTTGTTCTTCCTTTTCTAGTTTCATTAATTGTGAGTTTACACTGTTCATTTGGGATTGTTCTTCTTTTCTGGTAGGCCTCTATTGCACTATATTTCCCTCTTAGCACAGCCTTCGCTGTGTCCCACAGATTTTGTGTTGTTGAATCATTGTTTCATTTGTCTCAATATATTACTTGATCTCTTTTTATTTGGTCAGTGATCCATTGATTATTTAGGAGCATGTTATTAAGTCTCAATGTGTTTGTGGGCTTTTTTGTTTTGTTTGTGTAATTTATTTCCAGTTTCATATGTTTCTGATCTGAGAAGCTGGTTAGTACAATTTCAATCTTTTTGAATTTACTAAGGTTCTTTTTGTGGCCTAGTATATGATTTATTCTTGAAAATATTCCATGTGCACTTGAGAAGAATGTGAATCCTGTTGCTTTTGGATGGAGTGTTCTGTAGATGTCCGTTAGGTCCATTTGTTCTAATACGTTGTTTAGTGCCTCTGTCTCTTTTTCTGTCTGATTGATCTGTCCTTTGGAGTGAGTGGTGTGTTGAAGCCTCCTAAAATGAATGCATTGTATTCTTTTCCCCTCTTTAATTTTATTTATATTTGTTTCACATATGTAGGTGCTCCAGTGTTCGGTGGGTAGATGTTTATAATGGTTATATCCTCTTATTGGACTGACCTCTTTATCATTATGTAATGTCCTTGTCTCTTGTTACTTTCTTTGTTTTGAAGTCTATTTTGTCTGATACAAGTGTTGCAACTCCTGCTTTTTTCTCCCTGTTAGTTGCATGAAATATCTTTTTCCATCCCTTTACTTTCAGTCTATGTATGTCTTTGGGTTTGAAGTGCATGTCTTGTAGGCAGCATATAGATAGATGGGTCTTGTTTTTTAATCCATTCAGTGACTGTCTTTTTTTTTTGATGTTTTTTTTTTTTGGTATCATTAATCCACAGTCATATGAGGAACATTATGTTTACTAGACAGCCCCATCACCAAGTCCCCCCCACATACCCCATTACATTCTCTGTCCAACAGCATAGTAAGATGCTATAGAGTCACTACTTGTCTTCTCTGTGTTGTACAGCCCTCTCAACTCTATGTCCTTTGGTTGGTGCATTCAGACCATTTACATTTAGGGTGATTATCATTATGTTATGTACTTATTGCCATTGCAGGCTTTAGATTTGTGGTTACCAAAGGTTCAAGGGTAATTCCCTTACTTTTGAACAGTCCAATTTTACTTACTTTGTGTGATATTACGAACACAACCTAAAGGTTCTCTTTTTTTCCCCCTACTTTTTCTTCCTCCTCCATTCTTTGTATGTTACGAATCATATTCTGTACTCTCTGTCTATCCCTTGGGTGACATCTATTTAGCCTTAGGAATACTTATATCTTGTAAGAGTTCATCCAAAATGCACTTTGGAGATGGTTTGTGGGAGGTAAATTCTCTCACCTTTTTCTTATCTGAAAATTGTTTAATCCTTCCTTCCAATTTAAATGATAACCTTGCTGGGTATAGTATTCTTGGTTCAAGGCCCTTTTGCTTCATTGCATTAAATATATCTTGCCACTCCCTTCTGGCCTTGTAAGGTTTCTGTTGAGAAGTCTGATGATAGCCTGATGGGTTTTCCTTTGTATGTGATCTTTTTTCTCTTTCTAACTGCTTTTAAAACTCTGTCTTTATCCTTGAACTTTGCCATTTTAATTATTATATGTCTTGATGTTGTCTTCTTTGTGGCCCTTGTTTTGGGAGATCTGTGCACCTCCATGGCTTGAGAGACTATCTCCTTCCCTAGACTGGGGAAATTTTCAGCAATTATCTCCTCAGTGACACTTTCTATCCCTTTTTCTCTCTTCTTCTGGTACCCCTATAATACAAATATTTTTCCATTTGGATTCATCACACAGTTCGCTCAATATTCTTTCATTCTTAGAGATTCTTTTTTTTTCTCTGTGCCTCAGCTTCTTTGTATTCCTCTTCTCTAATTTCTATTACATTTACCGTCTTTTCTACTACAACTAATCTGCTTTTAAATCCCTCCATTGTATGTTTCATTCAGATATGGAATTTCTTAATGATTGAATCTCCAACCTAAATTCGTTCCTGAGTTCTTGAATATTTTTTTGTACCTCCATAAGCATGTTTATAATTTTTATTTTGAACTCTCTTTCAGGCAGATTGGTGAGTTCAGTTTCATTTGACCCTTTTTCTGGGTTTGTGAGATTTTAGTCTGAACCATGTTCTTTTGACGTTTAATATTTCTGTGTGGTGCCTACTAGTGCCCAGAAGCTCCAGTCTCTGGAGCTGCTCAGCCCATAGAGTGCCACTGGGGGGCATAGGGGAGCAGAGCTGTTGCCTGAGGTGAGGAAAAATCTGTTTCCTGATTCCTGTCTGCGGTGCCTGTCTCCCGTGTCAGAGCCCGTGGGCCAAGACACAGGTGTAAGCCTCTGTACTTTGCATCTAGCTGTTGTAGTCCGGGCTTTTCTCTGGCCGGCTTGATGCCAGTGCAGTGATTGCAGGTGTGTGAACCGGTGTTGGCAGGCTAGGAGGGAGGTGCAGCAGGCTTCGTGTCACAGTGGGGCTGCCTTGCAGCTGACCAGGCAGCCAGGGGAATGGGGTGCCTGAAGCTCCTCAAAGTTCCAACCTGCTGGGCAGAGCGCCCCCAGGCAACCTTGTCCAGCTCTCCCCTCCCCCACGCATTAAGCTCTGTGCAAACCCCGCTCCTTCAGTAGCCCTCTCGCTGCTAGGAAGCCTCTCAGACCGCCTGCCTTTCCCTTTGTCCCAGAGCGGCTGGGTGTGGATCCTTTCCTCCATAAGTGGCCGGAATCTGTCTCTCAAGCACTCCATCTGTCTAAGCGCCCCAACGTCCAGAGCACTACACAGTGTAGGGTTCTGCTCCCAAAGCAGACCTCCAACGCTGGGTGTTCAGCAGTTCTAGGCTTCCACCCACCTCCCGCTCCGTTTCTCTTCCTCCCGCCGGTGAGCTAGGGTGGGGGAAGGGCTTGGGTCCCACCGGATTAAGGTTTTCATATGTTACTCTGTTTCGTGAGGTCTGCTCTCTTCGTGAGGTCTGTGTGCAGTCTGGTTCAGCCCTCCCTCTTGGTGCTTTATGGCTAGTTGGATCAGTCAACTTCATTTTCATACTATCTGTGGTTTGGGGAGGAATTCTCTGTCTCACCTCTCACGCCACCATCCTGAATCGCTCTCCTTCCTTTGTAATTTTATTATGCTTTGTTTCTCGAAAAGTTTTTACTTCATGCCATCTCAAATGTGAAAATATTTATATTCTTTCTCCCCTTTCTCTTCCTCATACTAACTTTGACTTGAAAAGTAGTTTTTATCTATTCCCTTTGAGCAAGATCTCTGTATGTATTTTTTTATTATGGAAATTAATTTGCTTTTAAATCTACAGTTATAAATTTGAGTTTGTTTTAACTGTGTGTATGTCTACTGGGAGATCAATCTAATTTTAGAATTGAAATTTTATTTGTGTTTCATATTCCAGTAGAATCACTGTGTAAGGTTATGTATTTTGTTTACTCACAACCTCTAGAGGAGTGTTTAAATCTTAGCCTGTGTATTGTGCTTCCTGTAGTTGTGCATGGTATAAACAGTAAAAATTATATAATGGTCTTGAAACCCTTCTTGAAAACAAGAATTGTGTCATTTATGCATATCCTCAATTTTATGACTGACATATAGTGGTCAGTTTGTAGTGTTGACTGTGGTGGTGTTTTTCAGTTCTTTAACTTCTTAAGTTATCTCAGCAGGTTTACCTGTTTTGATAGATGCTAAAACACCAACAGGTTATGGCACAGATGATTTTTCCTCACATGAATATGAATTTAAGTAGTTCTGAACCAAGTCAGAATTTATAAGGTGATAAATTGTATATTTCTGTTGCTGCTGTAACAAAATTGTCATAAACTTGGTGGTTTAAAGCAGCACACATTTTATTCTCTTATTCTGGAGGCTAAAGTTTGAAATCATTTTTACTGGACTAGAGTTACTGTCCACTAGGGCCAAAGTGTTGGCAGGTCTGGTGCCTTCTGGAGGCCCTGAGGAGAGAATGCATTACCTTGTCTTTGTCAGCTTATACAGCCCCCTGTATTTCTGGATCTGTTTCTGCATCTCCAAAGCACATCACTCCAGTCTCTGCTTCCGCTATCAGTTCCCTTCTCTTCTGTGGTCTAATCTTTCTCTGCCTCCCTCTTCCTAGATCACTTGGGGTGACATTTAGGGCCCGTCAAATAATCCAGGACAACATTTTCATCCCAAGAGCCTTAATCACATTGGTGTGCAAAGTGATACAAGTTCCAAGGATTAGGACCTGAATATTTTGCGTGCCTCTATTCAGCCAACCACATATTGTAATAAAAAAGCACCTTTAAATTTTTTCATGTATTAATGGTTATTTTCTCTTCCTAAATAAGATACATTTTTTCCCACTGTAATAACACAGTGAATTATTTTACCCATATCTTAATGCTCATTTCTTTGCTCTTGACTGTGATACACAAGTGAATTGTTTCCATATGGGCATCACACACAATTTCTTTATTTATTCCTGAACTATTTTTTAATGTTGTCATTTTGTGTTGTAGTTGGTGTAATACGGTGCCCAGTATGCCGCCAAGAATGCAGACAGATAGACCTTGTGGATAATTACTTTGTGAAAGATACATCTGAAGCTCCTAGCAGTTCTGATGAGAAATCAGAACAGGTATGTTTCTCAGTTTTTCTTTATATTCCTACCTTGGTATAAAAATGGAAATTATAAGAATAACTTGTTTATATGATTACATAATTTAGGGTAGTTCTGCTCTAGTTCCATCTTTCAAATTGAAAATAAAGGATATCTGTTCTATACCCTCAAGCCTGATTAAATGAGACAAAAAGCCATTACTTAAAAAATTCAAATCTTGTATAGATTTTGTGTTCTGAGCCTTCGATTTTTACCCACCTGAATGTTTGATCTAGAAGGAAAAGTATTTCATTGAAGATAATGGATAACAGAATAATTTTCTTAGGTACAGTGGACTTTATTAAGCACAATAAATTAATATATTTGATGATAACTTAGAAAGTTTTCATCTTTTTGTGGATTTCTATTTTGTAAATTTAATGGAGATCAGTGTTTATTTCCTCTTTTAGGTATGTACTAGTTGTGAAGACAATGCAAGTGCAGTTGGCTTTTGTGTAGAATGTGGAGAGTGGCTATGTAAGACATGTATTGAAGCACATCAGAGAGTAAAATTCACTAAAGACCACTTGATCAGGAAGAAAGAAGATGTCTCAGGTAAGATTGAAGCAGTTTTAATAATTACTGTGAATCTCCTTCTTTGGCCCCTGTAGCATTTGTACTTATTCTTTATAAGCTTTGGATGTCAATATCAGTAAGAATTTAGAAAGGTAGACAAAATGTTTATTTAGTTTAAAAATATATGTTTTATTTTACTACAGAGTCTGTTGGAGCATCTGGTCAGCGCCCTGTTTTCTGCCCTGTACACAAACAAGAACAGTTGAAACTTTTCTGTGAAACATGTGATAGATTGACATGTAGAGACTGTCAGCTATTGGAACACAAAGAACATAGGTACAGAAGTCAATTGCTAAACAGGAATGTTATAAAAAGTTTTTCTAATATTAATTAATCTTCCTTAAGCAAGTATTTGTTTCCACAGTTTTGTTTGTGAGCATTCTCATTTTCAGTTTCATACATTTTATTTCCTGACATAAGATGTTTTTGGTAAGTTACCTATAATTTCATATTCATGCCTAATTGTCTTATGAGTATTTGTTAAAAATGTCTCATTCCATGGGTTTGAGTTTGCAAGAATGGAATTGTAGTATATCTTTGTTGGCTATGCCCATGGTGTAAGTTTTTTTCAAGTGTACTGTGGAATTTAGGCTATGGGCTATCATCTAAAAACACAATATTCCCCTTGGGCATGGGTAACTGATATCTATTTTAACATCAAAGCACAAATATTCTGATATATAATATATACAATTTTCAGAAAAACTAGGAATTTGTAAGAATATTTACGAATTCTTTAATTCATAACTTTGTATCTCAACCCCGTTTTACCCGCAGAATTCAGTAGTATTTACTATCACCAGTTATATCTGAACTGTCCTGGAAACACACTGAAATTTCTAGTCAGGTGTATAACACAATACTCCAGTAAATTTCTCAGCTTCTGTGGCATCTCTTATTACAGCTAAATAGATGGTCTTGACTACCCATAGTCCATCATTTTCTAAAGTATTATTTCTTTAAAACAGTTATGAATTCCCTGTGAAAAAAGGATAGTTTGAATTGGATCAGCCACACTTAAATGTTACTTAACTATAGGATTTCATAGAGCTTTTAATTTGTTAGATTAATTGGAATTTATTAGAATCCTTTTAAATAGAGGATACTTTAATCCTAATCACTAAAAATTATTGGATGTTTGGTTTCTGCCAGGCACTTTTCTGAATGCTGCGTGTTTGTTTAATTCACATCAACGACCCATGAAATATTGGGTACAGGCATCATACAGTTTTAAAGGTGAGAGAGCCTACTCACAGAAAGCTTTAGCAACCTATACAAGGTTTCACTTTGAGCAGTAGAGCCAGGATTTGAATACAAGGAGTTAGACTCCAGATCTTTAGCCCATATGCTCATTTCCTCCCAGATGATAGATAGAATATAGAATACAGAAAATGGGATTGCTCAAACTTGACTTTGTAAATGCAATGCTCTTTATTTTTCAAAGCACCTCTCAATTTTTCTACAGAGCTGTTTGTTTAGAAGTGCTACTTAAACTTTTGTATCTTTAATTTGTGATTCATCTTACTTGCCAGTTCGTTAATGACTAATGTTAAGTGTTAAGATGTTAAGTGACTAATCTTGTGGATGCCTTCACCTCAGGGCCAAATTTTATTGATTGTTTTGTAATCTCAGACATTAGATTACTTTTCTCACAGCTGCAGTCAGATCTTTGAGCACTTAGATTTAATGACTTTTAAAATTGATAGAAGCAAAAAGAAAATGAAGATGGCATCCATGAAAGAGAATCTTCCCCCTTCCCTCCCTCAAAGTTTAAGCATGATTCTTTCTCTTCCTTCACCACTTGAATACAGGTCCTAACTTACCCCTTGATTGTTTCCTCCTTTTTCTTTAGTTTACACTTTGTACTTCTGGATAGGCTATTGCAAAATGAATGCAGACCTAAAAGCCTAGGTTCCTGTTAACTACAACAACACACTTACAGCTGGTCTCCCTTCTTTGAGGTTTACCTTGTCAAATTCATTCTGTCTATCTTGTTGCTGGGATTATTTTGGTAAAGTATAGTTGCTCCTCCCCCTTCCCGTGCCCTTTTTAAGCATCCTTCAGTGGTCCTCTGTGGCCAAAGTTTAAAATGTTCAATATAGTGTTCATTAATGAGTCTTGCCACAGTCTTTCTGTTCATGATCTGTACAAAGAAAGGTAGGATGTACAGACTACAAGGCCCACCCTCACTTCTGACACCAACTACAGAGTCATTCATACTGTTTTTCCCTGAATGTTGTCTGGTGGTTCTCTGGCTGCTTTCAAGATTTTCTCTTTTTCTGTGAGCTTCACAATTTGACCATGATGTTTTTAGGTATCTATTTCATTGTTTATCTTGTGTCTGGGTCACTGAGCTTCTTGTATTTATAAGTTTATGGTTTCATCAAATTTGGGAAGTTGCCTTTATTAAAAAAAATTTCCTCCACATTCTTACTGTCTTCCGGGTGACCATTTGATTTTGTCACACAGATCCCTGAGGCTTTGTTCATTTTCCTTTATTCCTTCTCTTCTTCAGACTCTCTACCTTTACATTTTTGCTTATTTTAACTAACCTTTCGTTCAGCCATTTCCCGTTTGGTGTCAAGTCCTCAGTGAATTAGTTCATTTGCATTATTCTACTTTACTAGAATTTCCATTTCTTTTTATTTTATAGTTTCCATTTCTCTGATGAGGTTTCCAATCAGTTCACTCATCAAGAACCTGTTTTCACTTAAATTTTGAATAAATATACAATTGCCCATTCAAAGTCTTTGCTAAGTATAACATTTGGACCATCTTGGTGTCAGTTTTTATTATGTTTTTCTTTACTTCAAATCATACCTCTCTGTTTCTTGAATATTCTTTGAATATTTTTTATTGAGATTTGTACATAGGGGATGAAATTCCAAATTTATATACTATAGAAATTCTGGATTCTCTTATTATCTTGTGCAAACTGTTAATTGTTGTTTTAAAAAGCAATTAAATTACTGGCCGATCACCTTGATCTTGTATAAACTTGGTTTTATGCTTTGTTAGGGAAGATCTGTGGAAAGCCCAAGATATTTCCCAACTTCTCTAACTTGGCCGGATTCAGCTTCTAAATTCCATTTCTTGGAAGATCTTATGAAGACTTGATTTTAGGCTTTCTTAGGACACACTAGGCTGACGGTATTCAAATACAGTCCTTTCCCTTAACGTGTAGCCTTTCGGGTTTCTCAGGTAGATGCCTGGGGAGGTGAAAAAAAAGTCTCTTACCCTCCTGGCTCAGCTGGAATTCTGTCTCCCAGAACTGCTCAACTTCTAGTTTCTTTCTTCCTGTGTCAACTTAATAGCAGCTGTTCTCCATTAAGCTCAAAGAGACTTCTGTGCTCTGTTTTGTCCCCAGCAGTCTGTGCAGGGTATCATGAAATTGTCTACAGACACAGAGGCAGGGTGATTGTGGTACTCTCTAAAGGTTTGCAGAATTTCTCTGCTTCTAGCCCAGTGACTTAATACATACATTTGCCTCATATATTTTTTGTTTTACAGTTTTTGTGGTTGTAGGGCTATTCTGGTACCAGTTACTCTCTCTTATAGCTGAGAGTGAAAGTCATCTTTGTTCTACCTTAATATTTTTTATCCCCAGTTGCAGTTTACCTAAAATTAGAGAAGGGTATATGTAGATTGTTTTTGAGGATCAGTATAATTTAAGAGAGTGGTTGCTTAAAACCTAATATCAAACATTTTTGTTATAAAGAGTAAGATAATTTATAATGGTGATTTCTTGAATGGAACTATAGCAGTGAAATTTTCCTAAAATATTTTCCCTAAAAAATAGCTCTTCTGTTAATTAGGTTTTTTTTTTCAGTGTTTGTCCATTTTTTTTTATTTAGGTGTCATTGATAGACAATTTTATGAAGGTTTCATATGAGCAACATTGTGATTACAACATTCGCCCATATTATCAAGTTGCCCACCCCACCCTGTTGCAGTCATTGTCCATCAGCATGCTAAGATGCTGTAGAGTCACTTTTTGTCTACTCTGTGCTGTTCTGCCTTCTCCATGACCCCCCTACATTATATCAGTGTTAGTCTTTGGAGAACCAACTTTTTTTGGTTTGTTGCTCTCCACTAAATTATATGATTTTCTCCATTATTTTCTGTATTTATCTTCCTTCCTTTTACGTTATTTGGGTATATTTTACTTCTACGTTCTTGAGATGGATGCTTGGTTTAATAAAATTTCATCCTCTTTTCTAAGAAATAGGCTAATGCAGTACTTAATAGGAAATTTCTATCTCAGATTTTGATATGTAGTATCCTAATAGTTCAGTTCAAAGTATTCTCTAGTTTCAATTATAATTTCTCTTTTGAACACTGGGTAGATTATGGAGTTTTTTTTTTTAAACTTCCAAACACATGGAAAACTCTTTTTTCAATAGAGTTTTAATTTAATTGTACTGCGGATAGAGAATGTGGCATGTATGATTTCAGTCCTTTGAAATAGATTAATACATGCCTTATCACCGAGTATACCCATTGGCAAAGTATGGCCTATGGGCCAAATCCAACCATGTTACTGTGGTATCTCTCTCCACTACAAAGATAGAGGAATAGTTGAGCAGTTGTAACAGAGACCTTAGGGTCTGCAAACTTAAAAATATGTACTCTCTGGTACTTTATACAAAAAAAAGTTTTTTGACCTTGGGCCTAATATAAAATTAGCTTCTTTAAAGGCTCTGTGTATAAGTGAAAAGAATGTATATTACATTTTAGGGTCTACTGTTCTATACTCAGGTGTAGTAGTGTAGTCCTCAGTTACGCTAATTGTGTTCCCATCTCTATTCTCAGTTTTTCTGTTGTCTTGTTTTTAAGAGAGAGGTGTTAAAATCTCTAATTATGGTTATGAATTTCTTTAATTCTTATTATCACTATTTACTCTTTCTCTCTTTTTTAATCGAAGTAGCATTGATACAGAGTCTTAACATTGGTTTCAAATTAACAATGAAGTTTGACCATTTACCCATATTATTAAATCCTTACCCCTACTACTATGGTTAATATCTGTCAACATAGAAAGATGTTACAGAATCATTGACTGTATTCTCCATGCTGTACTACCATACCTGTGGCCAACTTATATTGTGATGGAGAATTTTTGCACCCCTTTATCCTCCCTTCCCAACCCCTCCCCCATGGTAACCAACATCCCTTCTCAGTAGTCTGTGAGTCTACTGTTGTTTTGTTCATTCTGTTTTGCTTTGTTTTTATATTCCACAAATAAGTGAAATCATATAGTATTTGTCTTTCTCCAC